TATTTTTCTAATCTTGGGGTAAGGAAGCCTCTCTAAATATATCATGAAAATAAGAAAATATAAAACACTGAAGATTTCGACTGCATAAAAATTGGAATCTATACAGCAAAATAAATCATAAATAAGGTCAGAAGACACATGGTAAGTTTAGGAAAAATATACTTGTGATATTTCTGAGAAGCAAGAAGAAAATATCCTTATTACACAAGGCGTTTTTAACAAGTCAATGAGAAAAAAACCCAATGCCTAAAAGGAAAATACGCCAAGGACACAAATATAAATAAGACTAGATGGCCTGCCCTGGCAGTGTGGCTCAGTTGGTTGGAGCACTGTCCCATACTCCGAAAGGTTGTGGGTTCGGTTCCCAGTCGGAGCACATATGGAAGGCAACCGATCGATGTTCTTTCTCACATCAATGTCTCTCTCTCTCTTTTTCTCTCTCCCCCTTCCCCACTCTCTAAAATCAATAAGCATATCCTCAGGTGAGGATTTAAAAAAAAGACAGCCAATAAAAATGTGGAAGGATATTCACCCTCGCTGAAAATCAAATAAATTTGATTTGAATAAGAAGGAGTTATCTTTTTTTCAACCCTCAGAAAAACAAAAAAATGAGAATACGGGACAGAGTCCTGATTTTGCAAGGGTGCAGACAAGTGGGCACTCTTGTCCATTACTGGTAGAAGTATAAATTGGTATAACCTTTGTTTATAGATGGGAAAATTGGAGAAAAAGGAAAGTCTACTAATAGGGGATTTATTAAGCAAATTATAGCACATGCATCATGTGTACAAATAGATGTAGTCATTAAAAATGATTCTCAAGCCCTGGCCGGTGTGACTCAATGGACAGAGAGTCCAACCGCACACCGAAGGGTAGCAGGTGTGATTCCTGGTCAAGGGCACGTACCTGGGTTGTGGGTTTGATCCCTGGCCCCTGGGTGGGGCACATGCGGGAGGCGACCCATCGATGTGTCCCTCTCACTTTGATGTTTCTCTCTCTCCCTCCCTTCCACTCTCTCTAAAAAGCAACGGGAAAAACATCCTCGGTGAGGTTAACAACAACAACAACAAAATGATCTCAAGAGCCACACTAAAGTTGAAAGACTGCCATTAAACATAGGCATGCTTTGAAACAACGTGCTTATGGCCTCATTCACATAAAATCTTGTATATCAATCTGTTTGCACATGCATTGCAAGATACATGGGAAGATGTTCATGAAACGGTTAATAATAATGGTGATTTCTGGGTGATGAGTTTAAAAACAAAATTATATTCTATCTAGTTTTACTGTATTACTTGCATTTTCTACAATGCATAATTACATCTTATAAAAATAAAGCTATTTCAAACTAATTTCAAGCCAAACACAAAATAACTCTCAAAATTTTCAACATTTGGGATCCCCAACCAGCCTAAATCACTATCATTTTCCAATCACCAAGGAAATAGAGTTGGCAAAGGTCTTTCAAATAAAAAAAGAAAAAACTAAACAAATAAAGTTCTGGTAAGTAAAAATTTGGTCACAAATTACTTAACTTTAATCAAACAGGTTTAATTCAGAATCGGTACCTGAAGTGAAGCGAATTACTTAAAGTGCCTCCTGGGAGAAGGAACGGCCAGCAGACCTTGGAGGCAGGTGAGCAATGCAGAGCCCGCCCCTTGTCAGGAGGCAGGCGTTTATTTCTGCTCACCCAAAGGACCCAGGGGTGTCATGCCAGCAGGTTACCCCGCCTCACTTTTTGAAACTGCAGTGTTTCCAGAAGACTAGTTCAGGCAGACTAACACGTTATCTCACATTTCCACTTCGAGTTAGAAATGGATTTTAGTACCAAAGTGAACTGAAATTACTACACAGCCCTAACTATAGTGAAGCAATCAGCAATTTGCTTTAACCTTGCTGTTATAAATTGCACAAGATAAGCTTCATAAATAAATGTCTGTCTCATGGAGGAATGTCATGTGAATAAGGAATGATATATTTCCAACTTAAGCAGATTGATTAAATATTCTCAGCACAGCAGTATGTTAAAATAAATCCTCAGATTTGGAGATGCTAGCTATAAATGTTTCTTATTATGAGACAAGTTCCCTTAAAATGTGCTCTGTTAGGCTCCATAAATATCACAAAATTCACAGAATTCTAAAAATCTTACTATATTCTTTTGCTATAAGGTTGTGAAAAGAGGATTATTATATTTACTCCTGGAAAAAGTTAAAATTACTTTCTTCAATCAATCTTCACTCTAACACATTGTCATTCACAATCAACAATGTTGATTTAGGTTAAAATACTTTTCTTTGTTTCATAAAACTAAACAACTTTTAAACAACACACAGACTTACCACCCAGTATCAAAAAATGTCCTCTGTATCAGTCTCTTGCCCAAAGACTAAGCTACCCAGAAATATTTGTTAAATAGATATTTAACAATTTAATTAGATGTACCTAAATGAAGAGAACAGTATACCTGCTTGACAAACAAGAATGTAAATACAATGCAGTGAGTTGACATGTATGGTCACAGAATTCAGTGGTGGAAAGGACAGGCTTTCAGGGTGGTGAAGCTGAAAAGCCCGTGTACGGCGAGGGGGCCAGAGTGTTATTACCGCGGGACTTGCCGAAAAGGGTACTAAGGGTAATAAGGGTGCGACAAGAGTGTCGGCACGATTCCTGGACCGCAGACAGGTAATGCTCTTGTTCCACTCCAAGAACAGAAAACAGCACCAGCCTGGGCTGCATCCGAGACGAATGTGAGGCCAATCCCTGACAAAGTGATTCAGTCACTCGCTGGAGCCCAAGCTACACTTTGCCCACACTGAGCAAGGGAGCCGTGAGTACTCCTCTGGAGGCCTCAGAGACCTCACGGCCAAATGCCATGCTGGGGAAGTCGCACAGTCACCCATGTGGCCATTATAAAGTGATTCTATTGGAGCCATCATAGCTTCAGCTGCTTTATTCTGAACACAAGTCCATGGGAAATGATCCATATGGCTCCCCAGGTCTGCTTTTAATAAATGTGCGTGTGTGTGTGTGTACACACACAAATATATGGGAACATTAAATATATATACCACATAAATTTATATGTAATCATTAAATACATATATACCTTATTATATACACATATATGTACATTTCACCTCTGAAATAAATGCTTCAATGTAAATTCCTGTCTTTGAGTAGGCAAGACCTCCTGCACAGAAGCTGGCAGAAGAGTTTGCTTAAACAACAGCAATACAGTGACTCATCTGTGTTTTCACAACATGTTTCTACCCAGCATCCATGTCTATTTGTAGCCTGACAATAAAGGCCCTGTGTGAACCATCTCTGAGCTGTCTGCCTTTAAAAGCAAGGACACTGTTCTCAGTTGACTCATTTGAGCTGCTTGTGCTTTTGAGAATAACCCACTGCCACATTTGTGAAGGCGTGTGATATCACTGAAGATTATTTCAGGCTGTGCTAATGCTTTTCTGCTTAGTCTTGATCTACTGTTTGGAGGATCAAATAGAGCCAGAGGACCTCACCCCCTAAATGAGCCCACGACACACCATGACGGCTATCTCCTGGGGGCACAGAACAGATAGCTCTATTAACACCCTAGACTGTAAATGCTGTCAGAATAGGATTCTTATCTATTTTGGTCACTAATCTGTTTCCCCAGCACTTAAAATAGTGTCTGGCACACAGTAGACATTAAATAAATATTTTCAAAGGAATGAATCAACCTCTGCCATAGACTTGTGAAATGTCCTGGACCTTAGCACCAAATCCACAAAATACTTTGTTGTCCCGCTGCCAAGTCCAGGAGACTTCCACTGTCAGAACATCAGCTCACCGTGTGTGAAAGGATCTACCCTTGCAGGGCTGAGACGCTCTTCACATGTCAAGTCACCTCACTCCCTGGTCCTTAAAATAGACCAAATCAACATGTACAGTGTGTGTATGCGTGTGTGTTATTGATATACATAAATACAATTGTTTAAAACAGTTTCACCCTTTTTACTTGGAGCAAAATAGTCTCCATCTTATTTTTGTGTTTAGGCAGAAATCTAAAACATAAATGTGTCCAGGGAAGAAAACAGAAGTGGAAGAAAAGCAATCATTTGGAATCAGCTGTATTTTTTTCAGCTGGCTGGCAGCACTGAGGAGTGCCAGCCACATAGGCTAAACAGTAGTGAGTCATAAAAGAGAAGGACTGGGTTAGAAAAGGGCTTGAGTCTGGTTGTTTACATGAGAATATCACCCTCGCTCACTACTGTGTGTGCAGCACCTCACACGATGCCTATTTTTTCCTTCATGACTGGATCAATACAAGGAGTTCTGTATATTTTTCTGATTGAGGGACTCTGAAGTATCTTTCCTATCACTAAAACGTTAGGTATTACTGATACAAAAGGAAGGCAAGTGCCACCTGCAAAGTCACCAATGAATTGTGGCTCATACAAAACAAGTCAATCCAGAGCCTTTACAGCTTCATGAGAAGCAGGTTCAGGATTAGGAGAAACAACTCTTATCTTGTATTTCTTAAGCTGAGTCCCACTGACAGATAAGCAAATCCACCCTTGAGTAAACCATTCCATCGATGATTCCGTTAGCTCATGTGTACAATGCCGGTGATCGTGCATTTCCAGAAAGAGTGTGACCATCAAGTTTAACAAAATGGTCCATACGTTCAAGGTAGGGCAAGGTCTAAGCCAGGTGCCCTGCACAAAGCTAAAGCAGCTGATATGCTTTGGCCCAAATAGAACTGTATATTCTCATTTCCTTCCCTTCTTTTCTCCACGTGTGACTCAAGCCAGATTTCATCAGGCTATTTTTATAATTATGAAAATGTTGGAAATACAGCAGCAGGCCAGAAGCAAAGTAAAACGCAGCATCCAGCAAAAAAAGGAAAATCACGCTGAGTAACCGAAAGGCCATCTGCTGCTCCCTGAGCTGCAGGGGTGAGGAAGGCAATCTGGGCTGTACTATTTGTGTCTCCCCCAAACCAAACCCACCTGCATGTTGTCAGTGGCATCCCCAAGCAGTCCTCCAAAAGTGATAGCGTTAGTGACAGTCGCCAGATAAATGAAGAGAATTGCTGACAGAGCTTGAATATTTAAAGCGTCATAAAAATCACTGGCAAAAAATGGTGCTTTCCTCTTTATGTCCTTAATTAGTCCACCACAGAACCTGAGTAAAGAGAAAGCAAACAAGTGACAATGTAAAATAAATTACCATCAAATTAATCAAGAGATAACTTATTAAACCACAAAGAATTTGTACTTAAAGTGCTTGAATGAACAAGGTACTATTTAACCACTTAAGATACAACCAGAAAGCTGTGGAAGGATAAATTTTCTCCTGTCTTTCCCTTTTTCAGTCACCAAATTAGGTGTCACATTCCCTAAAGACCAGATGGTCGGTCTTTAGCTGAGAGCGAATTGTCTAGATAAATTAAAACTTCTTACTGTCTGAAGGAAAACATAGAAACATGTGAGCAGATCATAAAAGGACCTTTATAATCTTGCTATAGATTCCTTTCCAGCCTGGTTCATTCGTTCGTTCATTCATTCGTTCATTCATTCATCATTCCACAAGTGTTTGCTGGGCATCTGTGATATACTCAACACAAATCTGGGTGCCGGAGCTACAACAGCGAATGATACAGAAAACAAAAAACAAAAAGACCCCACCCTCGTGAAGTGTACTTTCTGTGTGGAGGAGACACAAGAAGTAACATGCGTGGTGCTAAAGAGAAGTGGGGAGGGGAGTTACTCAGGGCGAGGGCAGCAGTGGCTGAAACACCACGGCGGCCAGAACAGGCCTCCCGAGCCGGCGACGGGCTTAGCGGAAGCCATGGGGGGGGCGGGGCCGGACCTGCCACCCGCGGGCAGCCCAGGCCTGAGCCCCCCATCCCTGCAGCAGCTGCCGCTTTCGAGGGAAGGTATAGGGAGAGGTGGAACCGCGAACCCCCGAGGGCGTGAGTGGCGCTATTCATTCCTCCGGCACACACTGCCCACACTCTCTGCTTTCCTCTCTCCAGTCACACTGGCCCCAGCGCCGGGCACTGCTGTCCCCGCTCCCAGCCCATGTCTCCGTGCTCTGCCCCCGCAGAGGCCGCGCTTCTCTCCAAGGCTGTCCCGGCCACCCGGCCAAAACACCTTCCTCCCGCCGCAAACTCCCACTTCCCCTTGTGTCCCCTATGAAACCGTCACCACTGTCCTTATTCGCTCCCTGCCTGTCTCCACCGCTAACTACAAAGCAAGAGCCCAGAGGCCGGGCTTTTGTTCAGTCCACCGCTGCGTCCCGGGGGCTGCGACTATTAGGTAACTATAAATATTTGTTGGCTGAACAGATGTACACACCAGTGAGTCAAATGCTGACAGAAAGATGAAGGGACATTTAGGTCTAAGGAAAACCTCGTCATGAATGACAAAAGAACCCCTCAGTTACCGTCCAGTCCTCTGCAATTCTTCACTGTCCCCGTGACCTCCGCCGCCGCCGTGGCCGCCATCGTGGGGTGTGTCCCCGTTCATCTGGGAAACATTCTCTCCACCTGAGTACATGTTCTTTCTAAGACAACAGAGCCCAAGAGAATATTAGTTTACGGTGCGCATCTGCCTCTCAGTTGTGCCAGGCACCAGCTAATGAAGAGAGGAGCCGAAACCCTTTGGGAGAAAGATCATTGTTTCCTTCTGCCATCCTAACAGGTGATTCTGGAAGTGTTATATTTAGAGCCAAACAAATGACGGGAGGAACAGAAAAGTTGAACAAACTGTGTGTTGTATAAGAGGGAAACCTTTTCACCTGGAAAATAACACATTTCCAGAAAATGGCTTCTCCTCAATTATCTTACCCAATTTCTTAACCTCTTAAATCTACAGGGTGTCATCTTGAGTAAACTAATCTTTCCACAGGCACAAGGAGTCCCCACAACATCCCCTAAGAATCTCTATGATGTATTCCAGTCTCACAATCTGAGATCTCTAATTTGTAGTCACCAAAGCACATCACAACATATAACATTCATTTCACAGTGTCAATGAAATGTGAAACCGAGGCACACATGTGATTCATCTGAGATGCGACAATATACCAAGTTAAATGGGAACTAAAAATATTAGGGCAGTTGCCCGACTCCATTTCCTTTGCCAAACATAGCCTCTTTCTCAAGGTTTAACACCCCCACCTGCTCGATAATTTACCTTTTGTCAGACGATGGAAGGCTCTTAGGAGGCTCTATCCTGATGGCTGGATCCCATTCCCCAGGGGGAAGGACGATGACTTCATCTAGGAACTCATCGATGCCGGCAATCAGGTCCTGCCTATCTTTTGCTTTATAAGCAATGTCATGGAACACCTGAAAAAATAAGAGGTGTGCTGAGCCAACAAGACAACTCTCCACATGCCTCACGTGTCCGGCCTGAAGAACGCAATCCATAGCCCACTTTAATATGGCTGTTTCTTCTATATGTCTTTTTTCCCTATCAATACTGTAAAATAATATTGCCTATCATCTCCCATCGGTCTGTCCCATCACTGATATAGTTGCTATGGAAACCAAATAAAAATGATTTGGAGAAATATACTGAAGAGTCGTTCCCTGAAATAAAAACTACCGGGACAAACCAATGCTGATAATTCAAGAAGGAAAAGTTCACACTGAGTGTTACGATCAGGTTAAGACCCAAACACTGCAGCTCTCAAACACACAAATAATGTCAGCTATTACAAAATAAGAAAAATCTGAGTCATAGTGGCGACACATAAACCAAAGGACTGTAAGTAGGTGATAATCTGTCCAGCTATGAAAGGCTTAGGATACGGGCAAGGGACGGTCAGGTCATCAGCCAGGTGAGAACAGAACAACTGCAAAGAGGATTATGTACATTCTGGGATGCGGACAGTGTCTGTCCATCTAGTCATCCAGCAATAACTCAACCATCTAAGGCAGCAAATGCTCCATGCCTTTCACGCAAATATCCAAAGAAGGAGCTTCCTGACCGTGTCTCATTCAGTTGGAAGGGTGTGCTGGCCAGCCTTCTTCACAACGGGGCTCACTCTTGGCCAGCAAGCTGACATCACACGGTTTCCAAAAGGTCAATTTTAGGTTGGAATAAAACACATTTCCCTTTATTTTCTAAACATTTTCCATTCTTAAAACTGACCGATGTTAAATGTTCTTTAAACAGTTCAAGTCACTGTGTTAATTTACAGTGACAGCCAAGGCGCAGTATGAAAACACACCAGTAAGACACGCACAGAGCAGCATCTCCCCAGTTCCCTACCTCGTCAGACATCAAGGTGGCGATGGCTCTGCCAATCTCATGGTAGGACTTGGCCTTCCCCTTAGGACCTAGGAGAATGAACAAGAACCTAATGGAAGGGGAAAGAAGCAAAGGCTGTAACACACATTTCATCCAGCTCAAAATACATAAAACTGAGACGCGCTTATCCTAGTTCATGAGAGGGTTAGGTCCAGAATTCACCCTTAAACAAATGGAATATTCGTGGCAGGATGACAGATACACTTTCAACTACAGTGAAACAAACCCCACTGTTCCGTTTATTGGAGGCGACGGAGAATTCAGCGTGGAAGCCTGAGAAGCGTCTCCCCTGAGAAGGGAAGGTTCACTTGTTGAGCCGTTCTATCTTTCCCTCCTAAGCTTTTTCCTCTCCATGTCTACTGAATTGCAGAATCTTTGGAAAAACCCATTAAACACAATAACTAGAAAGACTTAGTACATCTTCAGACTTCTCTGGCTTCTCCTTACCCAATCTGGGCAGTGACATAGGATCTTCTCCCGACTTAAGAAATGTTTCTACTCAGAAGTGACTGGGGGTCAGCAAAAACCAAGTCTTCCACGAGTTAGCCACATGCTGACAGCCAAAGTAAAGAAAGAAGATATGGGAAAAATGCAAAATAAAGCATCATTCACAGTTAAGGGTTTTGTGGTGTTTTTTTGGTGGGTGTCCCTATTTTCCTTTCCAAACTTCTTTTCTTGATATTGCACAAGCATTGCCCCGCAGTAAGTAGGTCCTGAAACTTGCAATAATAAGCTTATCCCATTTAGGTTCACCTCTTATCATGGTGGAAGAAATCCTTCACTGATGATAAGAGCAAAGATTCATGTCTCGACTAGGGAGGAGGAGACCCCATATGTAAATGAACAAGAAAAAATATATTAAAGGCGACATAGGATAAATTCTTGCCTTGCTTATGATCATGTCTTACCTAACACAGAGGTAATAAAAATGATCACATCTATTTGCACAGCTTTTTAAAGCTTGCAAAGCACTCCACGTCCAGCACCTCATTTTAACTCCCCACAACCCTCTGCAGTAAGAACAGGTATCCTGTTCCTGTTTCATGGTGCAGAGACTGAGGCTTGAGAAGGTTAATGGATGAGCCCAAACACTGTGCCTGGTAAATGGCAGAGAGCAGACAGGCCTTCCTACCCCTTGTTCTTTCCAGAGCACAATTCTGCCTAATATTACCTGCACAACCTACACACTAGGGTTGTGATCAACAGAGAAAGGCTGTCCAACAATGACTTCCATGGATCACCTTGGGGAAGGATATTGTGGATAGTTAGCTGGTGGCTAGACATCTTAGGTAAAATTTTAGGGGACCAGGAATGGCTGAGGACTTGGCTTAGTAAAATTTTATTTTTTACTTATTTATATACCTCACTTTAAATAAAAAGGGACTGACAGCAAGTACTCTTGAATGTGTTAGGGTCTGTGCCAAACAGCCCTCCCATAGATAATTCCCTTTTTTCATTATAAAATTCAATCCAAAGAAGAAAAAAAACAGAAGTGTAGAATATAAAAAAGTATCTGAAAGCAAGAATACTCAGTTTATCTCAGAATAGCCATAAAGCCATTCAGTACTTACACACTGAGGAGCCAGTTCTGCAGTGGGGCCCCTCGCCCACTTTCAAGGGCTATCACAGTGGATGGACTAGCCAAGTAATCAGCAGGCACAAAAGTCTGTGCAAGTATGAAGGAAGCTGTTACCAGAATTGGATTTTCGTTCTTCTAACACTGAAGTTCAGTTGATACTAGAGCTTTTCTTCCTTCGAAGCTGGGCCTAAGTTATATACCACTACATAGAGAATTATAGTGCTCCTTTATGACGATGAAATGTGTTTTTCTAAAGGGACTGATCACTGACTTGAGTACAACACATGCACTCAATATTTAACCACTAAGGCAAAATACAAATTAAGAAACTCCTATGGTAGTGGTCACATTTCCCAACCCCTATTTGCCTGTCTACCAACGGCCAGCTGTCGGGAAGGACAAAAGAACATAGTTTTAGACAAAGGGGACAGGTGCACTGCAGCAAGAGCAAACGGATATCTGAATCTTATATTTAATATATTTTTTAAATATTAAGGTTCCTTTTTCTGCCATTTTTATTATTTCAATGTATCTAAATATTAGTTTATCAATAATATATAATCTCTAAAACATTTCCAGAACCACTCTGTACCTCTTCTTGCCTCTCCCTAGCATCTCCATCATGATTATAGTTTACAAATACACATTATGGAAATATACACTTATCAACTGACACAGGAGTTAATTTTCAGGTTGACTATATGGCAGCAAAGCCAAAAGACTCTCTTGTTAGAAAGTGAGTAAAAGACTCTCAGTTATTTATAGTCCTCAAATATAAACTTTGGCAGGTAATGGGCCATTATTCTAAGAGCTGGTGGAATAATGGAGCTGCCAAGTTAAATTCTATGAGATGAGGGCATACACTTTCTTCTTCTTTTTCACCCAGCCCCCCACAACTCCCTGACAGCTGTCAGTCTGTTTTCTGTATCTATGAGTCTGTTTCTATTTTGTTTGTTTATTTTGTTCATTCGATTCCACGTATAAGTGAAATCATATGGTAGTTGTCTTTCTCTGACTGGCCTATTTCACTTAGCATAATATTCTCTAGGTCCCTCCATGCTATTGTAAAAGGTAAGCTTTCCTTCCTTTTTACAGCTGCATAGTATTCCATTGTGTAAACATACCACAGCCTTTTTACCCACTCATATACTGATGGGCACTTGGACTGCTTCCAAATCCTGGCTATTGTAAATAACACTGCAATGAACATAGGGGTGCATATATTCTTTCAATTTAATGTTTCAGGTTTCTTATAATTGTTTACTCTGGGCTCTGCTAAATGGTACCAAAGAATAAATGGAAGTAGCAGACCAATGGTGAATATAACATGTATCAGAGCAAAACCCAATATCTGAGAATTATGTTTCACTAGCTTCAGTAAATTAGATATAAAGGTACTATGCCTCTCTTTTAGGTAATATAATTTATATATGTGTGTAATTTTTATATATATATATATAAATAATTTTCTTCTTTAATGAAAAGTTACCAAGTGCCAGATAGAAGCAACATGTTACATACCAGTTAAGTTTTTCACATTATTTCAGTCAGGAACCAGACAGTAAATCCCATCTCCTTAAAATGATATAGAGAATACCAGAGAAAACCTGGCCATTGATAAGTAGCAGAAAACATCACCTCAGGTCGAGAATTTCATCTATAGGATCACGACACTTAAGAAGCCTCTAATTTGGACTGTATCCTCGAAATGGGGATGAAAGATCAGGGAAAACTAACAGAACCGCTCATCAAGTTCAAGTTCCTTCTGCTTGAAACGTGTTCTCTCCCCTTTAAACCTCAAAGAAGCGAAAGCTGTTACAACTTTTAGGGTAGAAGTACATCTTGCCAAAGCCAGCTTTTATAATGTACTGAAACTCCTTTCATGACCCAAGCTGTTTTTTGTCAATGGACAGATGTTATTTTTAACCAGAAGCTTTTTTCTCTATTAACAAATTCAAGTAAACATCACATTTGTGTGGCTGGAAGGGCACAGCCCACGTTGACAGCTCGGGGGAAAATTTTAATTTATGTGACTGAGTTCTTTTGATTCACTCATAACTAGAAATAAGTCACAGTGAGAATTTTTAATAGTGCCTGGTCATCTCTGGGATCTTCATGAGGTGCTTCTACTCCTGTGGGCTTTTTCATATAACTGATCGTGCCTGGGGAGGATGCCTGCGGCATTTTCCAAAACAAAAACAAGTGCCAGATGATCTGTGTCCGGAACCAAGGGGCTATACTCACATTCACAAAATAATTATAGCAGAAACAGAGCACAATATCAGAAAAAGAGCCAGCCTTCCTAAACCACTCAATCTTTTCAGAAAGGATGTGCACCCCCCTCCTTCCTGATATATCACAGCTATTTCTAGAATAAACTCAGCCTTTACCAATTCTTTATTCCCTTCTCTCAAAACAACAGTGAATCAAATAATCCATTATTCATATTTAGCAGCTTTGGAAAATGTGGCTGAACTGTAGCTTCCACAATAGACTCATGAGAACCACAAACCAGCCATAACCCAACCACATTACTTATGTAAACAGCAGCCAGCAACTGGATTGTTGGACAAGACAGACCTGAACTAGCAGGGCCTCCATCCCAAGCCCTCTAATAGGATGTTTTATGGTTTTGACAATTAAGTGAAAACTACTTTTTTTAGGCAAATAATTATTTATAATATACAATATATATTAACTTACAGTGAAACGAAAGAGGTAAACATTCAAATTTTTTAGAGGGCTAGAACTCATTGAATAACCATTTGCCTTAGATGTGAAAATCAAGGTCAGAAAAAGACAAACGGCTCAAGGGTTTTTATTATTCTTCATGGGAAAACCCTGACGCATTTTATTCCAATCCATTTTAGATATCTACTTAGATTCTCCCTAAAAGCCTGACCTCTCAGGCAGAAATCTGCAGTTCTATTTCTAGCACTGATAATGGATCTTCCCTCCACCTCCATCTCTCAACTATAAAATTGGAATAATAATATTTATCCCCTACAGAGCTCATAAATATGAGTTAGTAGAAGCCTCTATGGATAGATAAAGATGACAGCAAGCAAAGGGTGTGCAAGAGGCTAGGAAAACCATAAACGTATCCTACCAAGTGACCAAAGCTCCAAAAACAGTTTGTTTGCTTTCACATGGATGGCAAGAAGGGCCCTAAGCAGATAACATCCACCCGGTTGGTGGTAGTCCAGCCATGAACAGAAAGCTAAAGTAGATCATCCAAGTAACAGAGTAGAAAAACTTGTGAACTCCACACAAGGGAAACTCCTAGAGCTACACTTCCTAAAAGGTGCACAACAGTAATACCGTTTATTATCAATAACAGTCATAAGCATGAGAGCATAACTTTACTCCACCTTCAAAGGGGACAATGACAATTACAAGCTGTGCAAAACAAAGATATTTCGGGTCTCCCTGCAGCACACAGGGTGGCATGCCCATCGGGGCACACAGCTGAGCGCAGAGGCGGTCCCCCACAATGACTGCCACATTCCTTGTGGGATTTCCTTTATTGGATTTCACAGGATGCAGCCACCGTAAATGGCCCTGCATTACTCATACACAAAAAAAGCTAATGAGACTCCCTCCTCAGTGATTACAGCTTGCACTGGTTCGGAGGACAGCAAATGAATAAAACTATTTCCTGGGAAAATGTTAACATGCTAGGATATATTGTTCAGATTACTGCCCCGAAATAGTCTGATGACATTATTGAATTACATTCCCTTGAATTGCTGGGCTCCTTTTGTTAACTCAAATGATGCTGTATTTTACCTCTAGACCACTGCCGGGCTGGAACACAGAAGAAAAGAATGAGACAGGCAGAAGCGGACGATAAGAGGGACACAGAATTTGCCACTCGATAAACTCATGCTATTGTTAAATAAGAAGTCTTTGAAAATATTTTTTATTTGTAGCTTTTAAAGAAAAATAATAAAAGTGGAAAAGCAAGAGCAATTTAACACTTCTTGGCATATTTTTTTTTTCCTTTCAAGCCCCAGTGAAGTCAGTCCAAAGAGACATAAATAAAAGCATAGGGACACACGAGCTGGCCTTCAGCCGACGTCTGAGTCAGCTAGCTTTCGCCAGGTGGCTGCTCTGACAGGACTTCAAGGCTCTGCTGGCCCGTTTTCAAGGAAAAAGCGAAGGCACAGAAAACACAAATCAGGATAATCCCATTAATTGAATAAGCAATGATCATCTCCTTTCTTCTGCTATTTGGCCAATGGCTGCCTAACAGTGGCAAGTATTACTCCCATTGGAAGTGTCTAAGAAATACACAAATGCGGGAAACCCCGCATGATCAGGACGAGGGTCCTGTAATCCGTGAATTGGGAGGCCATGAAAGAATGGTTCTCCCCATTTTCCTTCTGATTTGGCTCAAAACCAGCCTTGAGCCCCCTGTCACTGCCAGTTAATCAAGCCCAGACCACCTGGGGTCACTAAGGAGGATTCACTACCTGGGGGAACCTAAAGAAGAGAAAAGCCACCTGTCCTTGCCCTGGGACCCACAAAAAAGCACATACACCAAAAAGTTGCTATTCATGTGATAATTTTCAGGGATCAGTTTGAAGGTTACAAGCTTCTCTTCAAGCTCTTTCAGGTGAAGCATTAACTGCTATCCACCTGCTGCATTCCTTCAGGGAGCTTCCTAACCCTCCTGAGCGCAGCTGAGAGGGAGATGAACAGAGGAGTTCAAAGATACTGTGCAGGACATTGAACACATTATTATAATGTGTTTGCTCTTAAAATAAAAATGTATGCAACACAGCAGTAAGTTGTGTAAATTTAAGAGTACAGCTTTATAATTTTTACGTGTCTGTGCGTGTGTATATACATGTTAGTGTATGTGTAAATTGTTAGTGTGTGTATGCATACACACACATATATATCTACATACACACACACACTAACAATTTTCTGATTAAAAATAGAGCAAATGAAAGCAACTGTGACCTCTGAACCAATTACCATCTGTATGAGTTTGGGCAAGTTAAACCCTCAAACTCAGTTTCTTCATCTGTAAAATCCATATACCTAGTTTATAGTTAAAAAATATTGTGAGGATTAAATAAACTAATTCATAAGAAGAAACTAGTACATGGTCCAAGAAATTGTTTTATTATGATTACTACTATACGAGTGCCAAGTCATGTGACTGCATGAAAGTCAGATTAAACCATTATTTCAGATTAAACCTTTCCAATATGCTCTCTCTGGATGTATCCACATTCTCTCGACTCTCTGGCCCGAGGGAGAGGAGATGTCCCTATAACCACACTGCGGGCCCCAGCAGTCAGGGATCAGCTTACCTTGTGGGCACGGGGACCTCAGTCAGGGCCCCCAGCATGACCGCCTGCTGCAGCCGAACAAAGGCAACGAAAGGCGTGTCCAAGAAGTCCACCTCGCCGACGAGCACGTTGGAGGCTTCTGCATCGCGGGGCAGCTTTTTCATGAACTTGTTCTTCAGCTGCATGGGAAGAGCCAAGGAAGCACACCTTACTTCAGAGAGGGAAACAAGAAGCAGCACTCCATATATCCCTCCCGGGGATTCCTTCATGGCAGTCTACAGGCAACAGGACCGAGCTATGGCATTTTCTTCTTACGATTAACCATTCTACTAAACATTTCTCTGTACCTTGGATTAAAAAATGTTGAGGCTATAACAACAAGATTTACATATAAGGCAATTCATTTATTGATTCACTCACTCAATAAACATGTGCTGAGAGTCTAGCAGGAGCCAGACCCTAGGGATACAGGGCAGGATCAACTAATTACATGTCCTCCTTGGGCTCAGATTCCAGCAGGGGAGAAATAAAATATGATTTAAAGTAGTGATAAGTGCTAAAAAAATAAAAATAAAACCAGTAAAGGGGTACTTTAGGTAGGGTGGTCAGGAAAGGCCTCTGAAGAAATCCATTTGACCTCGGAGTGGGGGGACAAGCCATGCAAAGAGCTGGGAAAAGAACATTCCAGGCAAAGAGAACAAGTACAAAGCCTCTGAGATGGGAAAGAGCTTGGCAGTAGAGGAGTAACACGGCAAGTGTGATGTTCAGCTGAAGGAGCAACGGGGGGGAAACAGCGGCAAATGAAGCTGCACAGGTAAGGGGGGCAGATGGCAAGCACCTTGAAGGCCGCGGTCAGGAGTCCTGGATGTTTCAGGTGGGACTTGCCCACTAAAAGTCCAAGTGCAAAGGTGGAGCAGAAAGACATAAATTTCAGAGATATCACCCTGTAAACAATACTTAGGACCATAGGACAGACAGGATCACACAAGGCTTGGTGTGAGTGCAGACAGAGAAGAGGGTAAGAGCTAAACCCCGCGCCACCCTACCTTTTCTAGAAAGGGGAGGAGCTATGGGCAGAGGGCCCTGGAAAAGAGCAGCCAGTGAGGAAGGAGGAAAACCAGGACTTAGCGGTCAGGTAAAGAAAGGGCTCGATAAGGAATGTGTATCAGCCGAGTCAAAGGCCGCTGAAAGCTCAAACAAGACCAGAACTAAGAATGGACCGATGAACTTGGCAAGATGGAGGTGCCGGGTGATCTTGACAGGAGCTGTTACAGTGGACACCAGGGAGCCCGGTAAAGGCTGAGAGGTGAAGAAATGGAGACACAGAGTACAGAGAGTTATTTTGAGAAATGTTGCTACCAAGGAAAGCCAAAAAATAGGGGGGGAGGTGGAAGAAGGCATAAAATAGGCGATTTTTTAAAATGGGAAATATGATAACACTTTGGGATGTTCATGAGAATGACCCAGCAGAGGCGGGCTATTGCTGCAGGACAGATAGGGGATAACTTCAGAAGCCACTCAAGCAACTGAACAATTGAGAAGAGGCCATCCACATCACAAGGAGAGGGATTATCTTCAGATAGGAGCACAGACAGTTCACCAGTCCTAACCAGGGGAGGCAGACTATATGGGGCAGATGGGGGGTCTGGGAGATTTGGTGAGGTGAAGATGAGGCCTTCTGAAGACTCACATTTTTGCAGTGAAATACAAGTGAGCTGATGGCGAGGGGGAGGCATGTGGGAGTCCTTTACAGCAGTCAAGACGGGGTTGTCTTGGAGAGTGAAGGCTGCTTAACACAGTGACTAGGAAAGCTTCTCTGGCCGGCATTATTCCTTACTCCCCTCCCTTCCCAGCTCCCACCTAGAATAGGGTGTTTAGTGCCCTCCAGTGAGTGGAAGTGCCTCCCACTGCTCAAGGAAAACATCTCAAGGGTCATGGAGGGATAGAGATAGGAATTTTGCAGGACCATATGAAAGGCAGACTTCTTATATTTTCTTATCAATATAAATGTCTCTCCCCTCAAGTCAAAAGTTACTGGTGCACTTAGTATTTTATGCCATGGATTATCAGGGAGATGGGAAGGGGGAAGCATGGTCCAATTTTCCCCATTAATAAAAAGGCTATAGTAACATTTTCATTTCAATTTCCATTTAAAGAGTTCTTAATTAGGGAAAATAAGCGTAATAAAAACTGATGCCTAAAACTCCAACACCCTCGGTAGCATTTTTATGGGATTTTTTCTTAAGTTTGGTACTTTATATAAGAAAGCTATGAGGCAAAAACAACAACAACAAGAAAAAACAACAAGAAAGTTGGGGCTAATAATTTAGTGGAAACCAAAAATAAAAAAGCAAAAGCAAGATAATATTGTTTTAGATGTTAGAAACATGACCGCTTCTAAGCAGTAAAGGATATTTCCAAAGTTTATGCCATTAATCCTCGAAGAAATGCTAATATTAAAAATAAATTATGTTTACATTGTTCAGATATGAAAAGAGCAGCCATGGGAAGGATCTAAAAACATTGAATTGCCAAAACTATTATTATGGCCTAAAGAAGTTAGTCATGAACTGTTCTCTACAACACTGAGTAGGGTGTGGGATATAGCCAAGTGGCCCAAACACATAACAAAATATCACTGCTAGAGAAACCTTCCTCAAACTTTTTCCAGAGAGTTTCCATTACCAGCACTGGAATCAAAGCTCTGTAATAATCAGATTTTATTTCCCATTCTCTCCAGCACTTTTTGCTCTAGTTAGGCAGGTAATCTGATCATGTCCACTTCTGTTTTATGTATTTATCCCACAGTCATGACCAAAAACTCTCTCATTCCTACTTTTTTTTTTTTTTAAATATATCTTTATTGATTTCAGAGAGAGGAAAGGAGAAGGAGAGAGAGATGGAAACATCAATGATGAGAGAGTCACTGATCGAGCCCGCAACCCGGGCCTGTGCCCTGAGCGGGAATCGAATCTCAATCACCTGGATCCTAGGTCGACGCTCAACCGCTGAGCCACGCCCGGCCGGGCTCATTCCTACCTTTTCTAAACGTCCTTCAGAGCTCAGCTCAAGCTTTCTACTACCTCAGCCCACTTTCCTGGGAACTCTGCAAGCGCTCACTTCCGAATCCCAATTCGGTCCATGTCCGAGTCTTTTCCCTGAGTTTCTTGAGGGTTAGAACAGTTTACCCCTCACTGTACTGAATACCTACCTACTTTTCACATGATTCAACTGTACTAAATATTTTGAATGAAAGAAACGAACTCAGTAACACTAAATTTTTGTTGTTGTTGATCCCCACCCAAGGATATTTTTTCCACCAATTTTTAGAGAGTGAGAGGAAGGAAGGGATGGAGGAAAGGGGGGAAGAGAGAGAGAAACATGGATGTGAGAGAGACACATCAAACGGCTGGTTCTCGCACACGCCCAGGCCAGGGCTGGGGATGGAACCTGCAGCCCGGATACCTGCCCTTGACTGGGAATCAAACCCTCCACCCTTTGCTGTGTGGGCTGATGCTCTAACCACTTAACCACACTGGCCAGGATGAGAGGGTTTAAAGGCTTATTCTAGAACCTCCTGGGTCTGGATCTAAGCAACTACCTGACTCACAACACATGCAGAAAATCCCAGTCGATTATAAACTTCCACAAAATGTTTTACTAGTACTATGGTACCTTTACTGAGATAACTGTACCATCTTAGAAAATTAGGAGTATATCTTTATAGGCCAAAGAAAATAAACTGTATTCTATATGCGCTGAAGAAAAGTAATTGTAAAGATATGTTCTTTTCGATCAGCATACCTCAAACTGTGTTAGCGGAACACAAGTGTTCTAAGAGAAACTAATAGCTGTTCTAAAATAAAACTGTGTGGTGCCTCAGATGCCCCAGAAGTCAGTCCTCAGATGGCCCCTTTCTCTCTACACATACTCTCTGGGTGATTTCATCAAGTCCATGTCTTTAAGTGCCATCTATATGCTGATGAGTCATAAATTTATATATTTAGCCAGGATATCTTCCCTGAACTCCAGACCTAACCACATCTCTGCTTGGATGTCTAAAAGGCATTTCAAACCTCACGAATGCAAAACGGAGCCCTCCCGGCAGTCCCTTCCAACTAGCCCTTCCTCCAGTCTCCTCGCCTAGTGAACGGCAACTCCATTCTTCCATCGCTCAGGCCAAAGCCTTGCTGTCCCTTCAGCATTTCTCCTCCTCTCACAGCCCATGTCCATTCTACCAGCAAATCTGGTCGGGTCTACGTTCAAAGTACACCCAGAATCTGACGGTGCTCACCCCCTTCCCTGCCACCACCCTGGTCCACATCACCACCATGTTTCTCCTGATCAGGGCACTGGCTTCCTGGCTGGATTATACGCTTCTGCCCCGGCAGCCAGTCTACGCACTAAAACAGCCAGAAGTCCAATCAGGAGTCAGTTCCTGTCTCTCCTCTGCTCAGAACCCTCTATTGGTCCCCACTGCACTGAGAGAAGACATGTCTTATGTCCGCGCAGAGCCCCAGCATCCTCGGGCCCGCCATCGGCTACCGGCCTACTGCCTGCAGCTCACCCAGGCTTCTGCTCGCCCAGGCACGCCCTGGCCGCAGGGCCTTTGCACGGCTCCGGCCCCCCTTCCTTTTCCTCTAAAGGTCACTGTCCTATCCGTGAGTCTTTCTCCAGCCCCATTAGCTTACCTTTCAACCTCCCTCTCCCCACAGACTCTGCCTACTCCCCTTTCCTGCTCCATTTTTTCTTCTTTGTGTCTATCACAGCCAAACACGTTATTTCTTTATTTTCCTCCTCTGCACTAGAGTGCAGGCGCCACAGGAGTAGGAGCCCATCGATTACGTCCAGTGTTGTGCCCCAGATGCCTAGGAGCGCGCCTGAGGGGAAGCGTCGAGAAGCATTTGGGAACCACGGTTATGTCCCCTCTTCCCGTTAAGCCTTCCTGACTCCTCTCTGAGGGTCACAGGTTCTGGACATACTCCCACCACCCAGGCTGTCTGAGAGGACAAAAGGCCCAGATATGGCTGATGTTAATAAACTCTGCCCCTGATCAAAGTGATAGGCCTCCAAAGGATTGAAACACGGCCCAAGCAGGGACCAAGCCATTTGGAAAATCAGTAGTTGGATGTGTCAAAATCAGTGTTCTCCCTTTCGCCTGCCGTTGCTCCCCTCCATG